TTGATGTATGCTATGGTATGTACTCGTCCTGATTTGGCTCATGTTGTTAGTCAAGTCTGCAAATACATGATTAAACCTGGAAGGCGACATTGGGAAGCAGTCAAGTGGATTTTCAGGTATCTGAAGGGTACTGTAGGACATGAAATTATTTTTGACAGTCAGAAGAATGATCCTTCAGTTGTGGGGTACGTTGATTCAGACTACGCAGGTGATTTGGATTGCAGAAGGTCTACAACTGGGTATGTGTTTACTCTTGGTGGAGGCCCTATATGTTGAAAATCAACAATTCAGTCTATTGTGGCATTATCTACAACTGAAGCAGAGTACATGACAGTAGCTGAAGCTGCTAAAGAAGCCTTATGGCTTGATGCGCTAGTAAAGGAACCGAGCGTTGAGCAAAGTGGAGTTCAGTTGCATTGTGACAGTCAGAGTGTTATTTATATGGTTAAGTACCAGGTGGACCATGCCAGAACCAAACACACTGATGTCAGGATCACAAGATCAGAGAGTTGATTGCTTCTGGGGAGATACTGTTGCAGAAGGTTCATACTGATGAGAATGCAGCTGATATGTTGACCAAGCCAGTTACTATCAACAAGTTCTTGCATTGCTTGGGCTTGTTGAATGTTTGCAGTTGTTAGAGAAGCATGGTGGCCCAACCCACAGTGGTGCAGATGGAGCTCCTAGGTATTTTTCTTCTAAGGGGCTGTATATTTGCCAAGGTAGAGATTTGTTATGGTATGACTCATATACCATATAGAGACAGACGCTGGATCGAAGCGGAGCGGAAGAATCTGTCCAAATTGGGAAGTTATATGGGTTGGGGTGCGGGGGCAAAGTCCCGCGGTATGGTATAGGGGCAATGTTGTAATTACATATTGTGCCTAAGGTTTACTCCTGGGGTTATAAATAGACATGTTAGTAACTACATGAGGTATCCCTCTATTCTGTAACATCTTTTCTGAATATTGAAAGGGACTCGCCGCTCTGCTCCCGATGACGTAGGCATCTTTGCCGAACCTCGTTAAATCTTTGTGTTCTTCTGGATTTGTGTCGATTACTGTTTTTCTTCGCTCTATTTTCTCAACATTAACTTTTAACTCATTCTTTGATGATGAGATCATCTGTGATGCTTATGGGGTATGCTATTGCCGATTCTTGACCACTGATAAGGAAAGTCAGGGGCGTTCATGACGTTGTTGGTGATACTGAACTCTTGCCCTGGTAGGATTGCAATGATAGGTAGGCTGAGGCGCTTGCTCAGTTCAATTATCCTCGGTCTTTGATTTAGATGATCTATACCACCGTTGGCCACTTCAGGGGACCAAACCAATAAATGAATGCATTCACTAAACCGAGCTTAAAGCAAATTGAATGCTTAATAAATTTATTTTTATTGAAAGTATTTAAAACTTTTTAATGTTAAGAAAAGTAAGTTTTATAAAATAAGGCTTAGTGGGCTTCTTTGGATGTGAATTATGAGCCTAAATAGAGTTTTGTATAGCCTCCAAAACCCTCTCCTTCATGCTCATCGAAAGCTACTGCCGGCGCTTCAAGATCATAAAAACCTTCGATTAAACACTAATTTTCGGCTCAAGTTACCGATCAGAGCTTTGACGGCAGCAGCAGCGGCGGCGGCGAAGGTAGAGATGGTGAAAGCCATAAAAGTCCATGAGCTCGGTGGTCCTGAGGTAAGCTATGTATACTTCTTCGTTGTTGTTTTTAGCAGAATTAGCTTTGTTTTGTTCAATTTTATCTGCTGGCCTTCTTGACACTGTAATAACCCTAATAAATTACGGCTATAGTCGGCATAGATCAAACAAATGCGAGTGAATGGAATTTTTTAGGGCTGTTTTCGCCAGAGTTGCGTTTAATTGCTTGGTTTTGAATTAAGATTGAAAGGATTGAAGCTTTTGTTTTTTTTCTTGGCTAGTTCTAGGATCAAGTCTTGCTTTTGAAATGATTATGCAGCGAATCAGAAAATGATACTTTTTTTCTTCTTGAACTTTCTTAACTTTTTATTGGGAGAATTTATTCATCTTCGGAGATGCAAAACAGGTCTTGAAGTGGGAAGATGTGGAGATAGGTGAACCAAAGGAGGGGGAGATACGGGTTAAGCACAAGGCTATTGGAGTTAACTTTATTGACGTTTATTTTCGCAAAGGAGTGTACAAGGCTGATTTGCCTTTCACTCCAGGTATATATTCTTATACTGGTTTTGCTACATCATTTTTAATAAATGGGGCATTTACATACATGCCACCCAATGCCTAAGTAATTACATGTCTAACACCTAAATTTTGCTTTTTTTACATATATACCACCCAAATCTCTACTATCACATAAAAAATACTACTAATTTACTTTTTTATGGAATGAAATACACCTTCTGATTCATAGGTAAGGTGGTATAAATGTAAAAAAAATGAAGTTTTGGTGTTAGATATGCAAATACTTAAGAATTGAGTGAAATATATGTAAATACTTCTTAATAAATGTTGAGGATAGTATAGCCATTTGATGTGCTCTAATTTTGGAGGTATCAATTTTGATCCTTCTATAGTGCACAATAAAGGCTAAGAAATTCATAGATAAAAAAAAAAAAAATCAAAAGAACATTTCAGAGGCTTTCATTTTAAAATTAATTTTTTTAGACTTCTTTAAAATATTTATTTGTGCATGAGGTGATTGAAGTTGTTCAACTTAGTCCTTTGGCAGGCATCTTCAATATTTTTTGAGCCAAAATACATCAATTTGTGGCAGTTAACGTGGATGTGAGTATAGAAGAATGCATGTTTCTAGTCCTCTAGTACCATCTTGATTTTGTTGTTGCCTGATGACCTGCTTATGAATCAGAACATATTTTGTTTTAATATTTTGTTAACGATAAGTTCTGCTATGGATAGCGAGAAATTATCTTTTGGGCATGTTTTATTGAGACGATGTTTCCAATTTAATCGACATATTCCTTTTTGGATAAATCCAGCTTCTATGAGTTTCTTGATTTTGGTGATTACTCGTTCCTTAATCTCAAGTCTTATTTGCCTTGGCAGCTACAATATAGGGAACACTTTGGGATCAAATAAGAGCTTGTGGATTGCTATATCTTGACACAAACCTATCATTTCATAATCGTTCCAAAATGAAGCAATCTTCATACTCATGAAGTAATATTCCCAATTATTATATCTTTTGAAGTGAAAGATTATTGATGAAAGTAGTCTTCGGGTCGTTCTCCATATCCAAGTTCATCTCTTGGAGCTAATCAATTGTTTTGAGGAGTCTCTTTTAATTAAGAATTAAATCTTTTGTTTCATCCTTGGATGTAAAAGGACTGACTTCATCGCCTATAATATCATAGTACGTGCCTTCTAGCTGGCATGAAGATTGAGCATATCCGACACCATATAAATCTTTCATGCCTTTCATGCATTTAGATGTGCTATCATTTTTTAAGCTTTTTTAAATGACGAGCTTAGTCAGTTGCTTGCTTGAAAGGAACTTGTTTTTCGATGAGGCTATTTAGACTGTATGAGAAATACTTGGGGACTATTATTGGTTATCAGTTGTCCCTCTCATTTGGTTTTTTCATTGGCTGGATTCCCTTATTAATCATGAAAAAAAATTCCGCGCTTGTTGTAGCCTCTCCTTGGACGAACACAGAAGATTTAACTTTGCTGCATTGATAGTGAAGGTGGAAGTCGAATGTGTGGCAAGACTATAATTACCATGGTGCTGTTCGAAATATGAGCTAAATAGTCTATTTAGGGGGTTTGAAAACTTCATTAGTTATTTTGTTAGATAAATAGGCTACAGTTTGTATTTAGGCTGATGAAGAAATTGCTCTTTATCATTTTCTGTTTCATTACAAAGGCGAGGCACTTTCTTCTTCTTTACAAGAAAAAGCTTAGGTAAAATAGCCTATTTTAGTTTATTTGTTTCCTCACTTATTGTTATTACAATGGATTTTCAGTGGGCAATTTTCTTTGTGGAAAGACTACCAGTCAGGTTTTGGTTTGATGGAATTTTAACACTGAATTTCCTCTATATAACTAAGAGGATTGTGTTTTTTTGCTTGGTTTTCTTGACATGAAAGGCTACCATCCGTCATCTTCCTCTTATGCCACCTTTCCATGCTTATCTCTTTATCTTTGGATGAATGTTGTTAGATGAAATTGACATTTTCCTTATTGAGTGAGCCGTGACATTGTTAAAAAGTGAGGCTGCCGTTTTGAATGCTTTTTACCACCCAAAATTTGAAGATAAAATAATCTTCATCCTGGTGGTTGATAATAAGATGGTACGGACATTCGTTTGGGCTGTTGTCCATGCTTAGGAGATCTTGGAAATTGGAGTCTCATTTTGTGATGCACTCTTTCTTAAATAAGTATTGCTTGTTTACTTTCTTTTGGATAGAAGCTCTTCCACCTCCCTCTCCTGATTTTGTTGGCTTGCAAGTGGTAATTTTTTTTTCTTTTTTTCAATTTTATTAATTGGAAAGGTGATTACATCATTCACCTCACTCTTTCATTGGTTGTGGGCCTTAACTACAATGAAAATACTAATGGACTTGATGGCATGGGAGAAAGTGGATTAGATTTGGAAGATGAGAAGTGGACTCCTTGGAGAATCTAGGTTGTTACCAAGAGGAACTACCTGAGCCGAGAGCATTGTTGTCGATTGAAGTCAACCTTGATAAGAAACTCAAAAAAGGCTCCGAGAACGAGTGCCTGAGATTTGAATGAATTTGTGACCACATTTTATTTATTGAATAATACTGATAACTGATTGATGCTAGCAACTCACATTTTTGGCATCAAATATAGTTCCACCTCGTAACTTTCCCAACTTGAGCCGTGATCATTAAATGCTCATTATTTGTAATTGTCATTTTTTATGTGTCTAAAAGAATGTCAATGAATGAATATAAATGATTTGTCTTTTTGGTAGCAACTTCTTTGGGAAATTTGTTAATTGTAGAGTAATGAGAGCGAGAGAGACTATGGAGTTTGAAATCTAGAGAGAAGTCATTTGGGCTTCGTTTGTGATGCGACAAGTCTCGTCATGATGCACAGAAAGCGAAGAAACATTCGTAGTTTCATTTGGCTGAGATGCTTGCTTCGCGTTCTGTCCACCACAAGAACTAAAAAGGTGGAAAAACACAGTGTTTCGGACTGGCGAACTTCTGCTCCTTCAAATGGAGCCTTAGCATCATCATTTTATTTCTTGTAGTTTTTCCTAATTCCATTATCAATGAACTTCTGTATTTCTTGCTCTAAAACTAATACTCTATACTCAATATCTCTTATTTGATGCCTACTTGACATTTCCAGTATATTATTTTAAAGTGGTCAACTTTTACTCATCAATTTGGTTTTATTTTTGGTAAGAAATATTATTGGTTTTGTTAAAGGCCTTAGCACCGCGCTGCCTTTTAACTTTTATGTCTCCATCACGTAATTCTTAGCAGGTATATATTGAAATCATGTAAAGATAGAGCACCATTTGTTTATTGATGCAAATTGTTTTTTTTGTTGTTGCCAAGTTGCCATAAACTTTTATCGATCAAATTGGTTTAATGTTGTTATGTATTTTTGGACCATAAAAATTATCGAAGGTTGGCAAGAAATACCCCTTGAATTTTTATATACTCGATTTTTTTAAATCAAATATGGCTTGCCTTTATCTTATTATAGCCTTGGAAGTTTCTGAAATAATTATGGTTTAAAATTGGATTGGACCGGTTAATTCGACAAGTACAATCATGAATCGGTCCTCCTGTTGGTTCCTTCCAAGTTGAAAATTGCTTCTGAATGAAATCGGCTAAAATATACTGTTGAATCATTGAACTAATCTGATTTTTTTATAAACCGACCGGTCCTAATATTAGTTAATTTTTGATCTTTTTGATTTTGATTATATGACTTACAATTAAATATTTAGATTAAAAATAAAAATAATTTAAATATCATATCCCAAATTTTGATTTAGAGTCATATTCAAAATATTCAAGAGTGAAGTGTTCTGAGTTAGTTGTATATTGAATTGATGAAAATATCATTGTTGAATCATTATTTTATTTTTTAAATTATATTAAATAGTTTAATATTTATTGTGCCATTCGGCTCCGTTCAACTTTAGTTGAACCGTAGATCCTTAAACCTGATCTAGTTTTGACAATCTTGAAGTGATGATTGCTTTAACTTCTTAGCTTATTAGATCTTTAATTTGTATTTTATTGACCTTGTTTAGGTGAGGGGTCTATTTATCTCTTTATGAGAATTCTAGTTCACTTTATGGGGCAATTGGAACATTCGAAAGAGTAGCTTGAGTGCTCGGTGCTTTGAATATCTAACTAGCAGACCTGGTATTCAAATTGAGCTGCTCGAAGCGCTTCTTTATCGAATTACTCACTTCATTGAGGCAAACATATAGCCAACTAATCTCTTAGTCTTAGCATGTAATTGATGCTCTGCATTTGTTGTTGTGATTCTGACAATCTTAGAATGATCTATTATTTTTATTACTGTTATTTGTTGCCCATTTTGATGGAGTTTTTTTCTATATTCTATTTATATTTCATCTTTGTTTCATGCTCGATATAATATTGCGGATTCCTGAAATAAACCTTGGATCGAGCAAACCAAAGAAGAATACTCTTAGGAGGCAAGTTAAGTAGTAGATAATAAACTTTATGAAGATTTCACCTTCATATGAAGGCTTTATGTTTTTGTTTAGCATATATTTCTACTTTTTGTGGTCAAACATGATGCAAAATAAACACATTGACTATATAGAATGTTGAAGGAGTTGAAGAGAATTCCAACGATATAAAATTTGTACAAAACAAAATTTTACACAAAAATTCACCGTTTACATATATAAGGTATTAATAATTATATATTACCCAGAATTTTTACTTTTTTTTATAAAGTCAATTTGTATTTATAAGCTTTTCTTGCTATGCTTTACCTGAAACATATACATTGGGAATAAAAAGTTTTAGAGGTTTCTGTCATTCCAACCACCAGCGTCATTCTTAAACAGCGTCTTATTTTACATGGTCATTAGTTCACCTTCGACTACTATCAACCTTCCCATTGCCTCCAACGACTGCTCGTCATCTTTGACGATGTCTCTGAAAACCTGCAAAAATACATTTATTATAATTTTTTAGACAAAAACATAGTACTTCAATACAACAAATTCAAATAAAAAATATGTTTCGGATTCATAATAGAAATCATAAGGATTTATAAAAGATCCCAAACTCATTAAAGTGAAATCTAAAACGCCGATCCCATTGTTTGTGATATTTGATATTTACATTCATTGTTGAGAATGAAGGGGCCCTCCAGCATTAGTTTAAATTTTGTTCATATTTTGTAATCGCATTACATTTTTTACATGCCTATTTCATTGTATATATATATTTTTTTGTTGGTATATGCTTATTTAGTATGATGTTCTTCTTGATATTGTTTCCATAATTCTAGTGTCATGCGTGTGGTGGTGATTTGTTCATTTTTAGAGTTTATAAAAGTTTCAACTCTGGGGGCGGCGAGAAGCTAGCCAAGCCTAGCCATAGAAGAAGGTTGGTGCGATGCCACATGTGACATTGAGGCTTTATCTAGTGCCTCATAGCACATGGCACAAAATGACATCTCAGCGAACACATGTATGGTGCTATTTTCCTTAGCTTTTAGATGCGCAGATTACTTCAATTTTTAGAGAGAACCCCCATGGATAGTACCCTAAGAAGTACCTCTTCATCATTGCTAGAACACATGCAGAGTTGACATTACGAACCTTAGATATGTGTGAGAGCAAAAGGCATATCCTCAAACCCAGCAATCGACAATGCAAAGGGAACAACGAGCAAAAAGATAAATGAAAATTCTTCGCTTACATATAAATATTGAACTAAAGTATGCACTGCATGTTTTCAACAATGCTCTTCTTGCAGCTTTAACCACTTTCAAATAAGTGAGTTTCTTTTTATTCCCCCACAGGACTTTATAGATCATCTCTTAAGATTGCACATTTGATTCTTCGCTTACATATAAATATTGAACTAAAGTATGCACTGCATGTTTTCAACAATGCTCTTCTTGCAGCTTTAACCACTTTCAAATAAGTGAGTTTCTTTTTATTCCCCCACAGGACTTTATAGATCATCTCTTAAGATTGCACATTTGGTTAGCCACTCTAAACCTATGCTTGCTTTACTGTCACAATGTGAAATTGCAACGGGTTCAACAAATGTATTTGCAGTTGAGTAAAATATTGCTTGCGGGTGGATCTTTTTGTAATTGACTAATGAGATATGTCTGGCTATAATTGAACTAGAATTGAAGCCTTATTGGATCTATTGAGCTAGCTTGAAATTATAACAAACTGGTTATATTATATACATACATTCGTGACTGCATTTGTATTTTTCAAGTTTCCCACAGATTTTTTTTTCCTCCCATGGAAGAGGGTTTCCAATCCCTATCAATTTTACATTTCCTTCCTGTGAAAAGGATATCATTATCTTACTTAGCCTTAATTGATTCTGGCTTGGCCTGAAATTAATAACCCATGCCTTGGTTCAACCAAGAATAGTTTGAGGTATCTCATGGTCAGTCTTACTTGTTTTGGCTCAAACTAGGACTAAAATTTAATCCAATCATGAGATGGTTTTTTCTTTTCAATAAATCGAAAAAAAAGTTGACCGACAATATGGTGATGATGTTTGTCAAGGAACTTTAGCGTGAAGTCGCTCTTTTTTTAAATGAAAAATTTACATACATACCACACAATTCTCATGTATTTACATATCCAACATCCAACCTTTGATATTTACACTTATAATACCTTGTGTTTACCTTTTAAAAAGATAATGATGGTGGAATTTTGATTTGATATTAAAAATTTGAGTGATATGTGCGTAAATATGAAGTTTTCGATGTTAGATATGCAAATACATAAGAGTTGTGTGGTATGCATGTAAATGCCCCTTCATAAATTCGAAATTTCTTAAATACAAAAATGCGGACAATGCCCTTTGGTTTATCAGAAAATATATTGTATATATATGACATTCCTTCTACATATCATATCGATTGAAACTACCCGAATGCACATGCGTCATAGTAAATATGACTTGGCGTCATGGCTTACATGTAAAAAAGTTTATTTTTTCCCTGAATATTGAAGAAAGTATTCCAACTAGAAATTCCTACAAATTTTGGGTGTATGTGAAAGGTCCTTTAAATTTCTTATATCCAGAAAAATTTATGTCCTTGAGTCACCATCTTTCACTGGTTTGACGAGGCGGCTTTTTTTTTAGCGGTGATGCGAAAATTGTAGTTATACGCTCTACTTTTTCAGCTTTCTCTTTTATGCTCGCTTTTGCCTTGATATTGAATACATATTCAATCAAAATTCAACTGATGTGCTCCCAGATTCAATTATTTTTCTAATTCCTTGCTCTCTTACCAATTCTAATCGTTTATAATTATTGTTAGAGGATAATTGAATCCTCATCATTTCTCACTTAGATGATATTCATCAATTAATTCTGTTAATATTTCTCCTTTCCCTATTCAAAATAGCTAATTATTATTTTTTATATATTTTTGTTAATGCAATATACATGATTTAAGATGATTTATGTGTAGGAAGGGAAGCTGTGGGAATAGTGACTGCTGTGGGTTCTGGTTTGACTGGTCGAAAAGTTGGGGATGTGGTTGCTTATGCTGGAAACCCTATGGGTTCATATGCAGAAGAACAAATCCTCCCTGCTAGTGCAGCGGTGCCTGTACCTTCTTCAGTTGATCATAAGGTAGCTGCATCTATTATGCTGAAGGGAATGACTACTCATATACTACTCCGGCGGTGTTTTAAGGTTGGTTGATTATAATATTTTGTCATTTTTCCTCCCTCTGAATCTCATGTAACTGCATATAATACATTTTTGTTATTTTCCTCCCTCTGAATCTCATGTAACTGCGTATAATACATTCATAAAAGAGTTGTTGCTAATAATGTTCACCTTCATGTCCATCAAGCACTTAAGGTCGCCCAAGTGGGGGCCTGTTTGGTTCCTTGCATCAGTAGTGTGAAATAAACCAAATGCAGGGGTTTTCATAATTCACCCTCTCGTTCAAAGCTAATGTTTTCGAATTCGTTAAATTTGGGCGATTTTCAAATATACTTACAAATTGCAGCATGTTATCATTGCTGCCTGCTCCCAGCTGCCTGCACGCCCTTAATTGCAGGCCACTTGTAGCTGCCACCGTCCATCGGGGCCAGGTGCCTGCCATTGGCACCGCCAGCC